AAATTCCTCCCACAAAATACAATAATTGCCCAAGGGTATACCACCCCAGGTAGTTACAACATATGGATATGGTATATATTTATTTATTACAGGTACTTGTATAGCACCATCAATTTACGTAGCATTTTACATATGTATTATGTGCATCAAAAATTAAATATTATGTAAATAAATAGATGCATAAAAAACTACTTATACCGTGTCAACATATAAAAGTGATATATATTACAGTGCAACCACGATGAATAAATAAATGATTCCCCCAACCTTACCTACAATGAATGAATAACAGAGTGATATAGAGCAATGTACCTATGATGCTGTATTTTTTTTTTTTTTTTTTTCCAGATTCAGTTCCTGCTCACCATTTCTCACACGCTCAGTGCGGTGGTTAAACCCTGTGGGTTTCCTTTTGGATGTCTAATATTTCAGTCATCCTATATGACTACATTGGTCATATTATTTGTAAACTTTTATCTGAAGGTAAATCAACTACTGCATGCTTTCAGGGAAAAATTGTTTAAACTTGTGGTGAACTTGGGATTTATCAAGTGTGCACATGACCTGTTTTTGGTATATATTGTATTTTTTTTTTTTCCTCTAGACAGGTAATCATAGATCCACTTGATCCAAATCAAAAAGTCAAGACTGAATTTCAACTCTTTAGAAATGCCCCCCTCTTTAGAATTAACCCCTTCATGACTGAGGGTAAAACAAATCCTATAGCCTGAACACAATTTTGCAACTTTGAAGTGTTAGTAAAACTGTACCAAGGACAAATTGAGTTGAATTTTCCTTTAATATATATATAAAAAAAATAATAATAATCAGGAGATATCCATTACCATTTACCACCAAAGGAAAAGTGGCCCAAAAAAGATAAAAAGTTTTTTGTTTTTTTTTTTTACTAAGTGTGGCTGTCTATTTCCTGCTATTACCATAATTTTCCATCAAAGAACAACCCAAAATAAATGTTTCTGTTCCTGGACGGTCGCAGTGATACCACATATGTGCATGTGATTTGTTGTTTGTACCTGTAGTAAAACCCAGAAACAATAGAGCACCATTTTGCTTTTTTATCCTACATAAAACATACAGACACCAATATAAAAAATGCTTTTAAAAAAAAAAAAAAAAAAAATCCTTCCTTAAATATACTGACCCTGACCTCTGACCTTAACACTAACCCTGACATTGACCTAGATCAAACCTTGACCTAGCAATTTTCCTTATTTTTTATTTCCATTTTGTTTTTGTTTTTTTTACACACTTTTGTTTGTTTACATTTTTCTCCCATGCCAATGGCAGAAAGATACAATGTATCTTTCTCTCCATTCAGAGGAGAAAAAAAAACAAAAAACAAAAAAAAAAAAAAAACACATGGGCAGATATCACTGCAATCAGGTGACCGGAAACCAGGAGTTCAAATTCCGAATCGTTCGGATTAGACCCAAGGCTTTTGGTGAGAGCCCAGACTCTGTACTGGGAGAGCACTATGCAGCATGCTCCCAGCACAAACACAGGTATGCATATATTCCGCCACACAGTAGACCCATTTCAGTGAGGCCACATCTATGTGTACAGGATGCCAGAAGGGGCTACCTTTGCAGAAGCAAAACAAACACCCCTGTATGAAAGTCCTTGGATAAAGTCCACTTGTCCAGGTCAGTGACTCAGAAATCATTTTAGCCTTTAGATCAGTATGACATGCAAGGTTCTAGCAAAGCGTTCAGCAATGGTAGCTCAGATATTACCATTATAACAGGTGTACTTTAAAGATTTGGTTAGAGTTGCCATTAATAACACGGTATTATGTGCCATGATCAGTCATATCAGCAGCAATGATGTCATAACTAGCCTACAAAAAAGTAACCATGATATGAGCAGTCAGTTCTACTATTCAAAAGTTACTGGGCTCAGCAGAAATACAGTCATGGGCAAAAATATTGACACCCCTGCATTTCTGTTAGATAATGCACCACTTCGCCCAGAAAATTGTTGCAATTACAAATGTTTAGGCATTCTCATGTTTCTTTTGTTTGTATTGGTATGACACAAAAAAGTGAACAAAAAGCCAAATCTGACATTTCACGCAAAACCCCAAAAATGGACTGGACAAAAGTATTGGCACCTTCCCAAAATTGAAAGAAAGAAAGAATTGCATCCAAAGTTTGTGACACTTCTGTAATTTGTAATTAAAACTCCCCTGTATTAATTAACAGGTACTGCCAATATAGAAATCACACTGGCAAACACTTAAAATGGTGAAAAAAATTGACTCAACCTTATTGTTGTGCGTTTCTGTGTGCCACATCGAGCACGGAGAAGAGAAAGAGCAGCAAAGAATTGTCTGAGGATTTGAGAACAAAAATTGTGGAAAAGCAATCTCAACGTTACAAGTCCATCTCCAGAGATCTTAAATTTTCCTGTGTCCACTGTACTCAACATTAAGAAGTTGACAGCCCATGACACTGTAGCTAATCTTCCTGGATGTGAACTAAAGAAAAATTGATCAAAGATTGCAATAAAGGATTGTTTAAATGATGGATAAAGAACCTTGATCAACTTGCAGACAAATTCAAGCTGACCTTCAGGCACAGGATACAGCTCACACTATACATCACCATCTGAATGAAAAGGGATGCTATAGTAGGAAACCCAGGAGGACCTCACTGCTGATACAGAAACATAAAAAAGCCAGGATTGGAGTTTGCCAAACTTCCCCAAGGAAGCCAAAATCCTTTTGGAAACATGAATTGTTGACAGGTGAAACAAAATTACAGCTTTTATGGTATGGTTTTTACCAATTTTCAGAAAATGAAATGAGGCTCTTAAAGAAAAGAATACAATCCCTACAGTCACACATGGTGGAGGTTCACTGATGTTTTGGGGTTGCTTTGCCGCTTCAGGCACTGGGTCTTGACCATGTGCATGGCATTATACAATCTGAAGACTGCCAAAAAATTCTGGGGTGCAATTTAAGGCCTAGTGTCAGAAAGCTGGGTCTCCATCAGAGGTCATGGGTCTTACAGCAGGACAATGAAACAGAGCGCTAGTCAAAGAGCACCTCAGATCTCAAATCAGCATTTGGGAAAAGGATCCTCTCCAATCCGAGAGACCTGGAGCAGCTGGCGAAAGAAGAGTGCTTCAAAATTCCAGTAGAGAGGTGTAAACAATTCATTGACAGTTACAGGAGCAATTGATCTCAGTTATTTTTTTCTAGGGGGTGTGCTACCAAATATTAAATTAAGGATGCCAATAATTGTGTCCAGTCCATTTTTGGGGTTTTGAGTGGAATGTGTCAGGTTTGGCTTTTTGTTTCTCCACTTTGTGTCATACGAACACAAAATAAACATGAGAATGCCTAAACATTTGTAATTGCAACAATTTTCTGGGCAAAGTTGTGCATTATCTGACAGAAATGCAGGGGTGCCAATATTTGCCAATGACTGTCGATATTTTGAGCCCAGTATACTAGAACGGACATGCGTTTGCTTCAGGAGTGTTTACTACAATTACATTTATCAGAAGTTCCTATTTTTAAATCCTCTTGCAGATACAGGATGTTTGAAATGAACACAGATTAATTTTACTTCAACAAGAAATTTTTTTTGTTATGTCTCTATGGACTGAAAATGAAGGGGAAGCACAAATTATTCACCTGACACAAGGCAATCTTTTGTTTTTTGGTCACCTCTATCAAGTCACCAATAAACTCCCTGGGATTATAAACTTTCTGGAACGGATTCTTGTGCCAATATCATATATTTTTTTTTAAGCAGCATTGATTTTGGGTATTATTGGTGCTATGTACCATTACCCAGGACTGCAATTTTCTGGATACTGCATACTTATATACCTCACAAATTTCTTTTGCCACAACAGTGGTAATTCTGGTAAACAGTAGCTTAAAAAACAAATATGAGGGATAGAAATGTGTTATATCCAGTCAGTGGATTATATTTTATTATTTAAAGGATACGTTCACCTTTGGAACATGTTTTACCCGTTTGTAGGATGGAACATGTAACACTTTCCAGCATCTGCACTCCCTCCGTATTCCCGATTACCCCCCTCCCTGTGACAGTGGGTGGGGGTCTTCTCCCACACCAGCTGTCACAATTTAAAAACAGCATGGCCGTGTGGGGCACCACCCACATGGCCACGTCATTCAAAGTTTCCTGTGAATGAACAGCCTACAAGCACCATCAGCCTCTGAGGTAGTTCTCAATGATCTACGAGGGCGGGGATGAGCGCTCTGGTAGTTCATGGATTCTTCTTGCTCTCAAGTAGCTCTGATAAGCTGACAGGGCCCACTATAACTGGTGATGGTCTGGAGACTGGCAGTGGAAAAGGCAAGACTATCACATGGACATACCAAACTTTGCTTAGGTGAGGGAGACCATTTAAAAAAAAAAAAAAAAAAAAAAAACATTTTTAGGGCCTGAAAGGGATTTGTGCTTCTAATGATCACTGGTAGGTTCCGGTCCCATTGGGCCCAAGAGACTGTTCTGGAAGGAAGAAATTAGCATGCACACACAGGTTTCCAGAAGACAATCTGAATCTTTATTCATAGATTCTTCTTCTTATATTGTAACAAAGAAAACCATACAATAGGATTTCGCTGGATACTTGTCAAGGCTGTGAACGTGAGATTTCGTGAGATTGGTGGCAGTGCACCCCAATTCAACATAAAAATCCTTACCATATTAAAATATACTCTGCAGATTGTGAACAGTAAGTATTACCACCAATGCATTTTGAGCTTGTGCTTTTTACAAAATTCATCAGTCTTGCCTCCATCTACTATACTCTGTAACACAACCACAATGGAGAGAAGAGGGAGACTATGGAAAGAATAAGGGGCACTTCTGTCTACCTGCCTGGGAAAGTTTGCAAGTGGGAAACATTGGCAAAAAGTAAAATTACTAATTGCAGATTGAATTATATAAAGAAAATGATACAAGTATTACAGGCTTCCTTTTTTTTTTCTATTTTAGACATACAAGAAGTCAACAAAATCTGATTCTAATAGAACAGCAGCCAGCTTAGATCTGAAGAACGGATATCACAAGGACTTAATGAATGCAAGCAATGGTTTTGTGCACAAGAAACACAACTAGTATACGAAGACTATGAAATTGAAGATAAAGCCCGTTTACATTTTTATTTAAACAGGCTGATAGGCTTCCTCTTAACTACTGACCAAATTCAATTTATGTTCAAAGATTTTTTTTCATAATCAATACCCCGAATTATTTTGATATGTAGGATATGATGGTAAGGCACCAGGTGCTTTATTTTCTCTAAATGTCAGCATACCAATAATCAAGATGAAAAGTATTTCGAATTGTAGTCCAGAAAATGCCTTATAACAGCCCACTGACATTCTTTTACATGTTTTAACAAATTTTTAATTTAATGTAGACTTTGTATGCACTAAAATTTAAATTGCGAAAACAAAGACTTCTTGCTTATTACTTTTAAGCTAATCATGTTTTTTTTTTTTTATGAACTGTGCAAAAAAGTTTTAAGTATACAGCAGTATACGCAGAGATAAGTGGTCTCAATCCATGGTTTGTGATAGCATGGAGTTTGACATTTAAGTTTAACAGGGGTTGGACACAATTATGGAAACACCAGGCAAAAAGAACAAAATCCTTACCCAATGTGGTGATGGACCACATTCTGGCTCCAGAAAGTTTTTCCACCACAGGATCAATTAGAAAGGGGTCTTCCCTGGAAGATGAGAGATGCTGTCTAAGGGATCTAATGCAATCTACCACAGTTTAACAGACTAAAGTCACTACCAATGTAGGGCAGAACCTGGCAAATGAAAATGGGATGTAAGGAGAGATTCCAACTGTCACCAGTAAAGTCCCAAAAAGTAAGCATATCTTCTATATGTCTAGTAGTGTTCCTGGTAAGGTAGGCCACTGGGAGATCCTCAGTACGTGTATATATATGTACGCCTGAAGGTCACATTCCAGATTAGTTCCACATGTCTACAGTAGTCAAATGTGGTGTGGGAGTCACACTCCAGAGGTGAGCTTAGAAAAGGCCAATCCAGATAGCTGCAATGTCGAGATCAGTTCAAGCAGCAATGTAGAGAGGAATGACTGCAGCTGGGAAAGAAGAATCCAGGAAAAAAAAAAAAACGCACTGGAAAAAAAGTGAAGAAAAAGGCTAGCAAACATTGGTTAGACTTTTTCAACAAAGCTGAAGAAAAATACATCTATCCTTATATGACACTAGCAAAAAAATGAGGCATGCTGGGTAGAGGAGGGGTTATCCTGTGGCTAGCCTACTTTTTTCTTTTTCTTTTGCTGCCAACTACAGAAGGATTGGCACTGTCAAACAAACATGGCATCAACAGAACTCCTGTGCCCCTCAATGGATGAAAAAGGTAAGAGGCGGTTCATCTAATACTGTAACCTTTTATATACTACATTTTAGATCTCAGAAATTGTTTGGTGAGCATAAAAGTAATTTCAAAAGTGAGAAAAACTGGCCTACATTCAAACAGCAGACCTGCAAGTACAGCACAGGGGCAGCCAAGTGTAAACTGAGCAATGCTTACACAGTTCTGAGCCTATTATAGCTTCTCTTAAAGTACAGGAAAAGAAAAGGCAGAGATAAAGGGTGATCTTTGCAAAGTTTTAGATCCCTAAATATATGTAATATATATTAAAATGGATCCTTCACCAAACTTGAAACTGCACAGCCAGTAAAAGGATTTACATTTCAGAACTGGGACATATCCTTTTTTACAACCTTGAAGCAAAAATACCTTTACAATATTTAATTGATAGAAAGGTTTCATAATTTTTGATCCCAAGAGTATGCAGTAGCTGACAAATGCCTAATGGGCCTGGAGTTCAGGACAGTAAGACACACAAGCTAGTGTTTGGATATGTACTGTATTGTCATGCTAAAGTCTCCAAACTCCTCGTTCCCTCTTTCCTCCATGTCTCTTATGCATATGCTGGCCAGTCCACACCACAGATTCGGATGTCTGCAGACATGCCAGTACTCTTCCTCCTTATTTCTCTTTCTTGAATATTGAAAGCTTTCTATTTTACCACCCTTCTTTCTCAAACACTACTGTATTAGATTGCAGGTATACTCCAAAATGTCACATCCCTATATACAAGTACAAGAAGCTATTTTTTCCCCTTAATTGGATATTAGAGGCATATGTATCATGACATGTCAAGAAGTATATGCTTTTAAAATCATATTTATTGTAGTAGAAAAAAAAAGTATATTCTTTAAAAACACATATGGCTTATAGATAGATGCATCTCAGAAACTAAAATAGCATAGCGGTCAACACGACTGTAAAATTGAGTGACTTCATGTACCCTTCACTCTGGTTGTGGTTGCCGGTTGGAACACTTGATCGGGTGATACTTTCTCTTTGTGTCTCAGCTTAAAGTGGTTGTAAACCTCAGACATGAAATCTGAACAAAGCACATTTCTATAGTGTTTACTCGTCTCTCTCCAAAGCGCCAAGGGGACGATTTACTAAAACTGGAGTGCGCAAATTCTGGTGCAGCTGTGCATGGTAGCCAATCAGCTTCTAATTTTAGCTTGCTCAATTAAGCTTTGACAAAAAATCCTGGAAGTGGATTGGTTTCTCTGCAGAGTTGCACCAGATTTTGCACTCTCTAGTAAATCTACCCATACCCCTGCTGTCTAGTTCCTTTGTTATCAGCAGGAGTGACATGTTTTCCTGATACCAAGAGCTAAAAAAGGTGACAGGAAGGGACCTCCAGCTGATTGACAGCCTCCGCTCCAATCGGCTCTCAGAGTTGTTGTACAGTGTGTAACTGCAGCTCCCCACCTCCTGCTTTATGAGTCTGAAAAATCCTTTTCATCTCATTTTTACAAGGATGTACAGGACAAATGGCTGCAAACAACGTATGTAGGATTGGTCTCATCTGTGTATCACCTGAGGCCAGTCACTTCACTTTAAAATGTTCACCACTAGTGATACTTGCACAAAAAACCCCAGTATAGGGCTGCTTCCCAGCAGAGGATGACCAGCTATCAACCATAGTGTTAGGAAGACTTGGGTGATTTTAAAATGTCTGAGGTTGCCATTGGCCAAAACGTCCCATTTTGGCTTGGTTCTGACTCCCTTTGCCCTGCTGACTACAGAAAAAATATTTCAAATCACTCCTCACATCATCAGAATGTCTTTATCAAACATGAAGAGCAAGTAACTGCAAGGCACAAAAGCAGTGATGGAGCATCTTTTGCAAGTTTCCCATAGGGGAGTATTCAAGAAGCACCAGGGAAGGTGCAGACGTCGCAGAACTATTTGAGACCAACATCATGCACTGATAGATACAGTGCTTCCTGTGAATGACTTAGCGGCACTTAGCCTAACTTGATTTTGTTCCACACACCTGTATACTGTATGTAGCTGATGCTAGAGTTTTTACTGTGCTGATGGCAGTCGCAAAATAATTTGTTTGGGCCAGTTTAGCCCACAATGAACTAATTACAATGATAGAAAAGCTGGAGGCTATACAGCTCTCTCTTCGTATAGGCGATTACTTGCAGACACCAGATTTCACTGGCAAGAGTCACTGGATTCTTGCATTTAGAATGACAGGTGTATGAGATAAGTGACAAACAGAAGTGTGTATTGGTGCAGGAGAGGTAGTACTGGGTATGGGGTTCACAAAGTCTTTAGAGATGTATAAATTGTTCAGTTTTTTTTTTTGGGGGAGCATAGGGACTTCTCCGCGAGATTAGGGGGGAGGAGAAAAGTTGTGGGAGTAAAATAAAGTATATGGTTGTTCAGGGTGGGTTAAGCAGCTTGAATAGTTCGAGGGGTGGAGGAGACTTATAGCTCAGGCAGTACTGGGCAGGAGGGTGGTAGAGAAGAATAGATTTTATATATATCTGCAATGTGAACACAGTCGTGAGGCTGCACTCTAGAGTAAACTGGAACTCTGTGGAGAAAATAGAGGAGAGAGAGGTGTCCCCAGACTAAGTGTAGTAAAAATGGTAACAGTTTATTGTACACAAGATTTAAAAACACACAAGACGTGGGTATATATCAGGCATAAAGTATTAGTAGGGAGACATCTGGGCTAGACAACTGGAGCGGATTATTATTATTATACAATATTTATATAGCGCCAACAGTTTGCTCAGCGCTGTACATTACAATGGGAGACAATACACGAGACAGTACAATAACAATACAATGTGATACACGAGGGGTTCGAGGGCCCTGCTCCTTGGAGCTTACAATCTAGGAGGGAGGGGATAGTGGTATGGGAGGGATAGCTGTGAAGGATGGAGTGGTAGGAAGAGTGGAGGAGATTGGCAATTAACAGAGGGCGGGGTAGGCTTCCCTGAAGAGGTGGGTTTTCAGGGTGCGCCTAAAGGAGAGGAGAGTAGGTGATAGTCTGATGGATTGGGGTAAGGAGTCCCAGAGGATGGGTGATGCCCCAGAGAAGTCCTGGAGGCGGGCATGGGATGAGGAGACCAGGGAACTAGAGAGAAGGAGGTCTTGTGAGGAGCGGAGAGTGCGTGTTGGGTGGTACTTGGATATTAGGTCAGTGATGTAGTTTGGGGCAGTGTTGGAGTACCAGGGGTCAAGGCTCTCGCAGTAGCTAGTGCTCTTAGCGGGTCCCAACGGAGGAGTGAGGAGGGCAGATGATAGTCCCAGGAGTCTCGGTGCAGGGAAAGATCCGTGCTCTGGACGGGTGCTGCTAATCTCTCATACCAGCGTGGGTAAGGTCATGTAGTAGAGCCGGCTTGAAGCGCAGCCAAGATGGCCACCGAGTGGAAGTGACGTCAAGACATAGCAAGGAGTCATCGGAAGGGGCGGTGACACGTTTCAAGGCAAACAGCCTTTTCATCAGACCTGAAACTCGTCAGCGCCCCTTCTGACGACTCCTTGCTACGTCTTGACGTCACTTCCGCTTGGCAGCCATCTTGGCTGCCCTTCAAGCTGGCTCTACTACGTGACCTTACCCACGCTGGTGTGAGAGATTAGCAGCACCCGGCCAGAGTACGGTTCCTTCCCTGCACCGCGACTCCCAGGACTAAGTGCCTTATAACAGCCCACTGACATTCTTTTACATGTTTTAACAATTTT